GCTTTATGGACTTGTATTTATTCTGTTATTCATGCTTTATGGACTTGTATTTATTCATGCTTTATGGACTTGTATTCATTCTGTTATGCATGCTTTATGGACTTGTATTTATTCTGTTATTCATGCTTTATGGACTTGTATTTATCCATGCTTTATGGACTTGTATTTATTCTGTTATGCATGCTTTATGGACTTGTATTTATTCTGTTATTCATGCTTTATGGACTTGTATTTATTCTGTTATTCATTCTTTATGGACTTGTATTTATTCTGTTATTCATGCTTCATGGACTTGTATTTATTCTGTCATAAGGACTTTATGACTTTTTCAGCCTTATTTATTCAGTAATGTTATTCATGCTTTTATAACCTCTAATATACATGAATTCTCCATAAATCCTACTTTTTCATATACAAAAATTTAGGACATAATTAAATTGTTGTATTTCCTCATAACCATGATTTTACTACAATTTTACCATAATCTCCATAATAATGACTTGGCATGAAAGTTACTTACAACTGTTTTGCACCTAGCATTTCATAAATCACTTTAAAAAACTGATGTACAGTAATGGGATGATTTTAGAATATATTTTCTCATATACAAGTACATTTTGTGTTTTGGACTTACAAAATTCTATTCCCATGAACTTAAAGTATACAATTATAAAACAAATAAGCATGATTCATACGAAAAATATAATTCTGCACAATAATTATAAGACTTTGCAAGTTTTCCCATACACATATTAGGAGTATTATATAATGATATAGCATATCTCTATATTTAAAGTTAAAACATATACCTTACATAATTGCACCAATATGTATTGCACCCTTAAGATATATAGGTAATAATTAAAAGCCCATGCAAAATTATCAGGGTATGTAAAATGTATAACTTTAAAAGTTCATTTGAAAATAGGCTACAGTATTTTATATACCGGAAGGAAGAAACCTTACAAAGGAAGAACTTATCAGCAACATTATTTCTTTGAAAAAATTTATTTCATTTAACACTTTATTTCACTTAACCCCTTTTAAAGGCCCATTACGCTTCAGATTTTAATGCTATCATTTTTATTTTTCAAAAAACATTTTTGGTATCATATTACAGTTTCCAAAAATTACTCATTTGCCATATAGATGATAAATCTTTGCTTCTTTTCTTCTGTTGGCAATTGCTATAAATTATTAATGAATAAGTATTTTGTGTGGAAGTCAAAATACTACTTTATTTACATTTCACTACCTTTACAACACTTTATTGCGAATTTAGCACTACTTCTGTCATTATCTGAAGCTGTAACAATTGCTCTAAATCCATTATTAAAACATTATTCAACACATGTTTGATATTTTTAAAGAATTTTATAAATACCGATTTCTGAGGCATCATTTGCTCTTAATAAACAAGGACTCTAATAAGGTCTTATGATGACTTTAAAAGTAAACTTCCATGAAGGAAATGCCTAAAGAAGTCCATATTTGCTGTCAAAAGAATACGTTTTTGGACCTCAAGAACTCTATGATGTCTTGGAATAAATCATAATCGCCTCTTTTGGAAAAACACTGCTTTAAAATAAAATGATGTGGGCACTTGGGGGAAAGCATCTGTATGCTTTTTGCTTTAGTCACACTGACACACTTTAAAGCTCATATGGCTACTCTAGCATACTCTTGTGCCCTTTCTTGCATTGCATCGGGCGCAAGATGGCACCCAAATAGAACAACCAGCTTGCTGCATGGATTCCTTTGTTGGGATAATTGATTTTAAGGGAACATTTTATGACTCTAGGATTCAAACTCAACACTACAATCCAAGCAATACCCATTTCCACAACTATGACCTTATTTATGAAATTAGCCTTATCAAAATCATATAGATATGTGCTATATCATGAAACCCTTGTACTGCATGACATACTCACCGAAAAAAAGAAGGTTTAAAACTTTGTTTGTACTGCTCATGTTATGAATGAGGAAAGGTTAATTTATCATAGGCAATTATCATGAATAACAAAAGCTACTGTAAAATCATAAATTTCATCAGGCCCCTTAACTTTCAAGGCCGATCGAATGTTTAATTTATTAGGAATATTTAATTGCCCGTGTTAATATAAAACTTTCGTGATGTCTATTATAACCGTTAGAATGATATCCTTACGGATGAAAACCTTTCAAAAACTGTCAAAAAACTTAAAAGGTGTAACATAATTTACAATTACACTCCATTGTGCAAGTATGATGTATACAGAGAAAGTTTATCTCCGTGTTTTCCCACACTTTCACAGGTATAATAGTGACAGTTATAGCATGGGGTCGTAATCTCCAGGTCTCCAACCCTCTTCAATACCTTGTAGCTATTACTGGTAGTGAACTCAATCTGGTTAAGATAACAGTTTGTTTTATGGCAATTTAACGTGACAGTTACTTTAGAAGCGAATAATTTAAAACGATATATTTCCTTTCCCCGATGGTAAAATTTACAAAATTCACTAAAAAATTCAAAATTCTGTTTTTTGAGTAATACAAAGGTCTGACAACGTAGATTAATTAATAATTCTTCACATCCCAGATAGCACTTCCCTTGTTATAATTATATGTATCAAAATGAAAACTATTAGAGGTTTTCTGCAAGAACAGAAATTGAATTATAGAGCTGAATAACAAAATTGCAGAGTATCATATAGAATAATTGCCGTTTACAGTCAAAAGTATACCATGCTAATTTGGGAAACACTCATTTTGATACAGTTATGTCTTAAAATTGACAAAAGTCCCACAAATATTTTATGGCTTAAAAATTAGCCATGTCACAGAAAGGCACTTGAAAGTGATTATAAATAGCCTATGATTAAGCAACTATCTTTTAAAACCTATTTCTTATAAACATGCCCAAACAAGACTTTAATGCACTAATATTCAGTCTACATTACATAGTGTTTAACGTAATTGTTTCAAATACAGTTAAACCTGTGATAAAGTGCACCATCAAATAAAAGACCATTATATAATATAAAGAAACCCTTCAACTGAATAACCCTTACAAGTTTCACAGTATTTCAAAATAGCCTATCCAGGATCAATATATCTGAAACAGTTTGCATACATATTCAAGATCAATTGCAAACTATTGCTTTTTACATCCAAATATTTGCTGCTGTTAAATGTATATACAAATCCCATTTTAGAAATTACATCTCAGGAATCCTGTAAACACAAATATCTTGTTTTCTTCTTTTATTTACTGAAACAACTTAATAATTAATTAAAATTTTACAGGGCTAGAATTTAACATTTTATTCCACTTGCAAATTTTGCAAGTACATAATTATACAAGAAATTCTAACTTGGCAAAAAAAACAACAGACGGAACTTGCATTTTTTACAACAAGGTATTTACCAATATACCTAAATGTACATGATTGTACAAATTCTTAATTGTGCAATTGGTTTTCCCCATGAATTGCCTTTGAAGATGACATTTACGTTAAAAATTTCATTTCTTTTTACAAAGTAATTATATATCAATTTATGTTCATTAACTATCTGCTACACTAGCAAAAGTTTGAAAGAAAAGTTAAAGGAAACTTACTGGGATTTTGACTTGCATTTTTGCAAGTTTGCTGTTGTTTAATTTAAGCCCTGAAAGATTTATTTTCATAATAATTTTTTTTTAACATATTCAGGTAAATTTTTTGGGTTTTTTTAAATTCTCTCTTACAGCCTGGATCATTTCTCAGATCAACTTCTTTTTTTCCTCTCTCACCAAATCATTTCAATAAGAGACAGGCTGTGATAAAAAATTAACATCTCTAGCTCTTCTAGGGGCGATGTTGACATACAGGTTCAACTGTACTCCTACCGTGTCAGTAAATCATCATATACATTTCAACAGATGAAGAAATTAAATTTTTAGACAGTCATCAAAATATCATATAATATGTATCATGTCCTCATTTTAATGGATCATGTGTCCCAACTAATCTAATCCATCTACATGTAAAGCTGTGTTTTTTGGTTATTTAAAGTCCTTGCTATTAATTTTCTCTTTCTGAAATACATACAATCGCCTTGTGCATCTTTTGATTTTTGAATTTTCAGTTATATAAAAATCAAAATGCTTAAACTGCCAATAGAATACAGTATTATATAGCATCTGGTCAGATGTCACACATCTGTAGACTGGCCTAGTTATATAGGACTGTCCTAACTTTACAAGACACATCTGGCTGTACAATAAAGGTAGCCTAGCTGCATACAGTTGGCCTAAATCTGGGTCCAAGTTTATTAAGAATTTTTCTTCTCAATTTTAGATCTCAGGTATTTGATTGGTCACGAACCAGTACAGAATGTAGTTGCACCAATGAAAATCCTGAGATTTCAGAAAGAACTCAGGAAAAAGTTTTATAACCTCAAGGCCAGTACAAAAATTGAGCTAACTTATTCCCCATACAACTGAGCAAGTTGTTTTATAGAAGCAGCCTAGCTCCAGACAGCTGGCCTAAATCTGTACAGCTGACCTAGCTCTCTATCCATATATACAGCTGGCCAGCCTATCTCTCAAAGATAGTTCTAGCTCAAATTTGCAGTTAGAACAGGCCTGCTATATAGAGGAGCTTTGTTATAAACCCAATCAACTAAATGACCTTGAAAATGTTAATACCATGTGACCATGGTCCTTTAAAGTATTACACCATTGACATGCAAGAATTTTGGATAATGAAATTTATGCACATATTTGTATATTAATTGTACTTTTGTGTATTTTTAGCTAAAACCCAGACTAATTAGAATCAAATTTATGTACACAGTTCTGTTTATAACCTATTTGCAATACACAGTCACATACTAAACATGAATAGAAAAATCACATTTTCAGCGTTAATAAAATAGCTGAATCTGAATCTTCTTAAATACAAAATGTGAGACAAAATCTAATAGGCTGACACTGAGGACCGCAATAACATATTCTTCTAAATTTATCCACTTACCACATTCTTGCATTGAAGCTATAAAATCAGGCCATGGTTGGCGCACAATGACAATCTTATGACATGATGAGATTACATTGTCTTTACCCACAATCCTCGGCTCTACGCAGAGGTCCCCAAATAATCACAGCTTCTAAAATTATAAAAAAAAAAATACTTTATAAATACGAAGATTAATCAAACTAAATCTTAATCAAGTTAAATACCTATCACTTAACATGACCTTACCGCATATAAAGGGTTGCCTGCCTGATTTATGCAGTTATCACAATATATATCTTGTATATTTTGTGCTCACAGCAAGTTCATGTGTCGCAGAATTTCGTGACCAAACTTTAAATTTTATAGCTCAATACATGAGATATATTGAGTACAATTTATGTCTTTAATTAGTTTGCTAAGTCTCTTTAGATGTTCCTTATATAAATCCATTTGCCTAACCCCTCAAGTTTTATAATCACATGTAAGAAATGTTGAATTCTTTCTTTGGAGATCCTAATTTCAGCCAGGTTGTAGTTCAACAAAGTCTGCGCTTGTCTGAGACAATGCAAACATGAGAACCAGCCACATTTTTTACTGTAGAACTCCGAGCCTGAAATTTGTCATATCAACTTAAACAGTGTCCATGTGATATTAATCAAGAAAAACATTGAATTAAATCTTTAACTAATGTTTGCAAAAAAATCTTATGGTTAACTTAATTAAAATGTTCAAGTGATCATCCAATACTCATTACAGCCTAATTAAGATAAGGGGTCATCTTATGAAATCAAGCTCAGGTTTTTTAATAAATCATATCGAATTCTACTGATATTAAAATGTGTACAAAGGAACATTTAGTCTTTAAATAGACATTGCATGATATTTGTACATGTATATATATTGTGTTATCTAAGTACATATATTTAATTTCAAGTGAAATTTACAGAAATAAACATATAAATAGTGAACATTATTTATATTCTGCATTTCCAAGAAACCTATAATTTCATATATATATATATAAGTCCATAAATATTTTTAATTTCAATCAGAACCCACATTTATTTAATTTATGTATATGGGAGTTTCACCAACCTTGTTATATAAACAAATTTCAGCTCCACTGGTCATAATGAACGAGGCGGTCAAAAATTCACTGTACACTGTCCATCATCTCATAGTAAACATATCTACAATACATGAAATTACAAATATAAAAACCCTGCAACATATTTCATATTTTTGATGAATTGGTAAAAAAAAAAAAAAAAAAAAAAAAAAGTTTTATGTTGCCAGGGTGAAGCAATCCGTCAAAAAATGTTCAAAAACAAGAAAAACACCTGCAATATCGAAATCATCTATTCAAAAAGAAGGTAGTCGACATTAATGCACCTTAACTGACAAATAAATACTGGGGGTTTTCAGACCCTGACACAACCAATGACCTTCCTTCATTAATAACTGGGTGGTCCAAAAATATTTATTATTTTTTGTGGAAATAATAATCTCAGTCTGGGATAGATTGTGCAGTAGTTGACTAAAATATAAAGAATTCAATCGTCTGAGAAAGTTTCAGTATCTCACAAACTATTTTGGAAAAAAATGAAATGTCATTATTTTATACTGAAAAACAAAATAATTATGATAACTATGTTTAGAATGTAAGATAAGATGCCATGATGTAATAGTGTGTCTTAATTAATCCTTTACCTTGCCCACTTTCCATATTTTTACCATTATTAAGGCTTAACACCCAACCTGTTGAGCTTCTTCCAATTAAGGTCTATTATTTTTTTTAAATATTTAATCTTATCCTGCTAAATTTTTGTATTGGATTGTCTTACTTTGAATTTGGAACAGTCCATTCAAAGTTGAAGGAATTTCAATATCAAAACTACAAATTAATGAATTTAAAATAAAACTATTTGGCAAGGGATACTTTATCAATGGTATGTAATAAAACTGTTGTCACACTATTTTTTTTTGATAAATGACATTGTATTGAAAATATTTTCCTGGCAGATTATGCAGTAAATTAATGCACCTGTCACATGTAATCATGCCCCCCACCCCCAAACCTGGGAACTTAGACATTCCCATATTCAAACACCTGCTAAACCCCTCACTCTGCAAGGACAATCTGATGGTAAAATATCTTCGAGTTGGGCATGTCCCCTACTATTTTGATGCCAAAAAGAAAACAATCGCATTGACCTTACAGCAGTTAAGAGACAGACGGAAAAAAAAACTTAGCTCAATTTATCATGCTATCACTAGCACAACCCGTGGAATGGGGGGAAAGGTGGGCGGGGGATGGGGGACCAGTAAATTCTTACATTAAAGAAAATAAAGAAAAAGCCTACTGTTCTACCCCTCACCCCTTGTGCCCCCTCAAAAGGTTTAATGCCGATGAAAATAGCAATAGCAATAATATATCATTCTGAAAAGCACCACTCATTCCTTCTAGACCATGTAATCTGCATCCTCTCAAACCCGCCTTACCCAATCCTAAGCCCCCTCCCCCTGCTCCCTTATTCTGCCATTTGAATTTATAAAGCACCCTGGTTGTTAATTACAATAAGTATGGTATATCAAAATTATGACAGAAATGACAATCAAAATAACACCTGTTCTTTTGAAAATATTCTTTTTTTACTTTTCTATGCAAATAAAGCAGACTATGCAAGCAATTTGCAAAGGAAATTGTGCATTCAATCCTTTATTACAACTTCAATAAAGATGGGCCAACTTCTAATATCTTGAACAAAGCCTACCCATCAAATAATTATGCAAAAAATCATGGTCTTCTTATCTCCCACTGCAGCTGTGATACTGATCCTTCATTAAGTATGCCAGAGAAAAAAGTTAAACTAAAATAAATAAACCTTTAATGACAATATACGAGATAGTACACACATCGGTACTGAAAATGCTTTGATTGGGTTATTCCTCTGGCTGGCTGGACTACTTAAAATACATAATTACCTACAATTAATTTTACTACATGTATTGTTTCAATGTCATACAAAAAAATCTGTTATTGTTATAAATGTTATAAATATTAGCACTTTCTTCTACAATGTTTTGTTGTCTTATAGAACTTCCCTCTATACTTTCAATGTTAAACAGTACTGCTACATAGATGGTTTCAACATCATATAGTCATTTCTTCTATTGTTTCAATGTTATAAAGTACTGTCTTCTATTGTTTCATTGTCATACAGTTATTTCTTCTATTGTTTAAATGTCATACAGTACTTTCTTCTTTTATCATAATGTCATGCAGTACTATGACAAAAATTATTTTCTAATGTTGTAATGTAAAACAGTACCAAAAAAATCTATTGTTCCAATATCAGACAGTACTTTCTTTAATTATTCCAATGTCATACAGTACTTTCTTTAATTGTTTCAATGTGATACAGTACTTTCTTTTATTGTTACAGTGTCATTATTAAACCAATGTCATAAATTACTTTCTTTAACTGTCACAATGTCATACAGTACTTTCTTTATCTGTTACAATGTCATACAGTTCTTTCTTTAATTGTTACAATGTCATACAGTTCTTTCTTTAATTGTTACATTGTGATACAGTACTTTCTTCTTTTATCATAATGCCATACAGCACTATGATACACAGTACTTTATATTGTTGTAATGTAAAACAGTACCATCTATTGTTACATACAGTACTTTCTTTAATTGTTCTGAAATGTCATACTGTACTTTTTTTAATTGTTACATTGTCATATAGTACTTTCTTTAATTGTTACACATCATACAGTACTTTCTTTAATTGTTCTAATGTCATACAGTACTTGCTGTCATACAGTACTTTCTTTAATAATTTCAATGTCATACAGTACTTTCTTTAATTGTTACAATGTCACACAGTACTTTCTCCTGTTGATTCATGATGTCAAATATTAGATTGTCAGGTCATGAGGTTCAATTTATTTCCTTCTATACATCATATTGTAGATCACATAACCTACTATTGTTATTCTATTTTTTTTCCTTGATCTACATATCAGGAACGCAGTGGAGATGTTTACAACATTTCGCAAGAAGAAAAAACAACATGTGAATAAATCAGTGCCATTCCCAAACAAACTAAACACATTAGATTATAGTATTTCTACCACATTAACTATATCCTAACACTCGATTACTAATAGGAAATTTGAATTATTACCTAAAGGCTGCCAAGAACATGCGAATCTTTGAACCATTTCCAATTGATTTCAGTGCTATTTGTATCGAATACAGGTAATATGGCAGCATTGTTTAAAACACACCTGTGACCTAATTAAACAATTACTCTAGCAGAAGCAAATCTTCAAAACAAATACAAATAACGTGATTTTTTTTCCGCATATACACTGAACAGGCCTTCGTTCTGACTTCAAGCATACCCTAGTTTTGCACAGAAAAAAATTGACTTTTTACATATCGATCATATAAGAAGATATTTGTTTGCTTTGAAAAATATACAGTATAACCTCTAGCTAACAACACCCTTTGGGGATGAGGGCGACTATGGTTGTTGTACAGAGGTGTTGCTCTCGAAAGGTTAATTTGTGAAGAATTGATACTGTTGTTGTAAAGAAGTTGTTGCATTAAAGAGGACTTTTCTACAGAGTTTGCACTGTATTATCTTTTTACCACAATAAATGCTCTCTTTCTATCAAACATTATTTTGAAGATTTTTTTTTTCTTGTAAGTCACATGGTCACTTTTAAAAAATTTAAGAACTACTTTCAACATTGCCTTTAAAAAAGTTGTTTATTAAGTTTATAGTATTTATGCTAATTCCTCATTTGCACAGGAATTTTCATTGAGTGGCAACAAATTACCGACATTAAAATAAGCTTCATATGGTCAAAGGCCATTTTGACACCTTACATTTATTAAATGACTTTATTTTACAAGCTTGCCAATTTTGATAATTGATAGAAACATATTCAAAACATTGCCATACTGGACAATGTCTCAAACACTTCTGCCAACATTTTTATCATTAATATGCTAGAATCGAAAATGATAATAATCCTTTACCACCAGTATAGGGCAAGGCCAGTCTGCAGTTTGACTAGACTCTATACTGTTAGTAGCTCAAATTTTGATACTGAAATCTTTTGATACTGAAATCCCTCAAAATTTTATTGGACTGTTCCGATTTCAAAGCTGGGCAAATCCATTACATCTGCTGAAGGGTTGAAATTTGTAAGTCAAACTTACAAAAACTCAAAAAGTTTCCATCAACCACTAGTGTTACATCAAATAATATGTCACACAAAAGTCGTAACTAAATCCTATATTCTTTACCAATTTCCCCAAAATACCTTTTGTTGATAACCAATGATCCAAATATTAAAATTGATGGCTTTCACACATTTGATGAAATTCTACTCGGTGGGTGGAGTGCATATCTCTTCTAAATATTTTAAATCAATTTTACATTATTATTGATGAAATTTTAAACAGTCTCTTGAATTAGTCTAATTTTTTCTTGACGCTATTTGGTCATATTTGTGACAGTATAAGCAATAGGTTTCCAATTGCAGCAATTTATAGCCATAAAAGATAACTATCATTTTAATATCAATGTTGCAGTTGTCCTCAAGCTAAAGTGCATAAATACCAGTCTTACAATTGTCCTCAAACGAGTATAATGCTAAAACAGCAGTCTTGAAATTTCCCTCAAAATCATGCCAAGTTACCAGTCTTTCAATTGTCCTCAAAATATAAATGCCAAAATACAAGTACCAGACTTGTAATTGCCCTCTGACAAGTAATGCCTTAATGACAGTCTTGTAATTGCCCTCAAACAAGCCTTAACATCTGTCTTGTAATTGCCCTAAAAAAAAAAGCAATACCTCAACACCCGTCTTGTAATGTCCTCAATCAAGTAATGCCTAAACATCAGTCATGTAATTGCCTCAAACAAGTAATGCCTTAACATCAGTCTTGTAATTGCCCTCAAACAAGTGATGCCTAAACATCAGTCTTGTAATTGCCCTCAAACAAGTAATGCCTTAAAATCAATCTTGTAATTGCCCTCAAACAAATAATGCCTTAACACCAGTCTTGTAATTGCCTCAAACAAGTAATGCCTTAACATCAGTCTTGTAATTGCCCTCAAACAAGTAATGCCTTAAAATCAGTCTTGTGATTGCCCTCAAAC